AGACTATGTAAAACCTGGTGCCAGAGGTGCAACACTGCTTAAATGTATTTAAAATAATACAAAATGTGCTATGCCAGCTCAGGACTGGGTCTTTTATGAACCGTATCCTATATATAAAAACTAGTGTATTTCAAGGCTTTATTAGAAAAGTGTTATAAGGTAAAAACAAAAGGTTAAAACTATCACTGTAGGTTTTTCATTTAATAGATTTTACTGCTATACATCAGACTCTCTGCTGGTGATGGGAAGGCAAAGATAGTAAGATGGTCCTGCCCATGCAGAGTTTGAAGACAAGGAAGGGTTTTACTCTTCAAATTCTAACTCATTCTGACTGCCTGGCTGAAACCTAAGATGTAAAGTCTGGGGCTTCTAGTTTTCACCCACGAGAGAAAAAGGTAGAGTCACACATCAGAACACCATAAGCAGCACACCTGTAAAAGAAACAGCTTCTTCAAAACTTAATGGACCTCAATCCCCTGTGGTATCAAAAGGTTCAGGAGTTTTCATATGTGCTTCTACCATTAACAACTGAAAATTATAATTTTATAATGCAAACATAAAAGACTTGGGATACTTACGTTTTGCCCACAGTTTGACTGCTCTTAGGGTGAGTCTGAAAGTTTCTTTATTTGGCACTAAATGCAAAATTTCATCAGTAACTCTACAACCTGAAAAATATAAAGCATTCATTTTTCATTATGCAACAAAGCCCAGTCAATTCAAACATCCTTCTAATTTCAACTCTCAAATGCTAAAAATATCAAGATAAAGTGTGAGGTTTAATTTCTCAGCGTACTTTAAATTTAGCACTTATATATGAGAAATCAATTTGCTTGTAAAGAATTAAAAAGCACGTGGGTAATACAACCCAATATTAAAATGAGATGAGTCTGAATATCTTTTTAGCTTTTTTCCACATTTGGCTTTACTGTTAATCAAATGTCTCCAGGTTATAAAACTTAACTGCCTTAATACAAAGCTTATCCATAAATACTGTGATGTACTGTTCTACTCTGGAAGTACAGCAAAATGTAATGATTAAGTCAAACAAGATACCATAAACCAGTGGTTCTCAAAGTGCAGTCAGTGGACTTCTGGGTATCTGTTAAGTCAAACCTGTTTTTATAATAATATTATGCTTTCTTTGCCTATTTCACTGTTTAACATTTGTATCATGGTGCCAAACCAGTGATGGGTAAAACTGCTGGTATCTTAGCAGTGAATCAAAGCCGTGGCAACAAACTGTACTAGTAGACAATATTTTCACCACAAGTCTGCAGTCAGAAAACAGGAAAGGAACATGTGTGATGTGTGAATGTGTTCAAGACAAGCTGAACTATCTGCTTTTTTCAAAGAACACCAATTTTACTTGAAAGAATGACTGAGAGACAACTATGGTTACCCATAATTGGGTATTCAGCAGACATTTCCTAAAAAGATGAACAAAAGTGAGCTCCTCACTTCTAGGAAAACAAAAGACAAAATTTGTTGGCAGTAATAAAAATTTGAACTCTCAAATAAAAACAAATAGAATTTCAGACGACTAGTATCTGCTACAATGAGCTTGCAGCTTTCCAAGACTTAAAGACTTTTCTGATGAGACTGGTGGTAATATTAATGAATGTGATTAAAAAGTATTTTATGATGAAACGTGTTAACATTTAGAAGAGCCAAATAACTTTGTAAGTATTTTCCAAATGACTGAGGCATGAAAATACAAAATCATGCATGGGTAGAAGATTCAGTCAAAGAATAAGACAAACAGATTTTAATGCAGCAGAGTACAAAAAGTTAACAGGTTTTAGATTTGACGTTCTAATTAACATTTTTAAAAGATCACTATTATTCAGCAAAAAAGGGAACAAACTACTGATATACACTACAAACATGAATAAACCTCACAAACATTACGCCAAGTGAAAGAAGCCAGACACAAAAGACCATGTATTATATGACCCGGTTTATACGAAATGTCCTCAAAAGGCCAATCTATAGAGATGGAAAGTAGATCAGTGGTTGCCTAGGACTGGGGGTTGGAAAGGGGAATGACTGCAAATGGGTATGAGGGATCTTTTGAGAATGCTGAAAATGTTCTAATTTGGATTGTGGTGCACAACTCTGAATATAGTAGACTACTGAATTGTACACCTAAAATGGATGGATTTTATAGTATGTAATTTACCTCAATAAAGCTGTTGAAAGGAAAAAAGAAATTGTCACTGGTTAAATTTTGGTGTAGTGTCAAAGAATACCCACAATTATCTGAAAAGGCTATTGAATATTCCTCCCTTTTTCAAGTACATATCTTTAAAAGGCCAGATTTTCTTCCTATGCTTCAATCAAAACAAAATTTTACAGGAGATTGACTGTAAAAGTAGATATAAGAATCTAGCTGTATTCTATTAAGTCAAATATTAAAGAGAGTTGCAAAAATGCAAAAAAAAGCCATTCTCACATAAAAATGTATTTATATTCACTAATAATGGGTTTATTATTGTTATGTTTAAATGAATAAATACTTTAAAAAGTTCTCAGTTTTTATTTCTAATATGATAAACATTGATAAATATAACTCACAAAAACAGATGATCTTAGGGGGGTTCTTAAAAAAATGTTTACAGTATAAAGGGGTCCTGAGACCGGTAAGTTTGAGAACCACTACTATAAGCATAAATATTTCAAATAAATTTGTGTTTTTCAAAGATGCTTAAATATGATCAAATTTTTGTATAAAGAAAATTACATCATTTTAAACTTAGACTAATCCTTAAAAAGTCTATGAATAGTTCTGCAAAAAGATCTCTATTTGTCTAGTTGTTTTCGCGCAGGTATCTGAGATTTCTTTTTAGAAGCTTACCATTTAGGCTGCGAATACACCTTATATCAAGGCTTCTCAGTCGAGAGTCGTCTCTTAGATCTAAATTATCTGATATGGTTTGTATTGCCAGTCTTGCAAAGACTAGATCAATCTTTGGAAAGATGAAAAAAAAGAGAGAAAAATATTACTTTTTCTCCTTCTAGTCCATTTTCCCCTTCCCACCTCAAAAAAATGTAAAAAGTTCTAATTATTAGTCTGGACATTTTACCAAAACTTCCAAAGGCCTATGCAGGCAGTATCACATTGGAAAATCACTGCAAAGTTTTGGAGAATAATTTTTAAATTAAGGGAAAGCATTTTAATTTTAGCATATATGCCAAGCATTAAAAAAAAAAATCGAAACCTTATGAGTGAACTTCTAGATAAAAATGGCAGATCCAATACATTTACATTCACTCCCTCTTGAAACCCCACTAAAATACCAGCAAAATTTCATTTTGTTTTTTGTTTAGTTTTATTTTGTTTTTAAAGGCATAACTCACTAGATCAAAGAGAATAGGAGACAACAGAAAAAACTATGAAAGCTGGAAAGCAGATGGACAAGTGGCAACAGACTCAGCAGATCTAAGAAAGCAGAGATAAAAAAATTGTGTATCTAAGAAATAAGGACAGGAGGCTGTAAATAAATTTATAAATAAAAAGGAACATTTACAGAATAAAAAAGTGTTCTGAGAAATTAAAAATATGATGGCAGAAATGAAAAACTAGAGAAAGTTTTTAGAAGATGAGAAAACCCCAAAAAGCAGAACAAAAATATGAAGATGTGGTTCTAAGTGGGAAGGAAGAAATTAAAAAAAAAAAAGAGGCAGTTCTGGGGGTCTAACATACAAATGTTAGGAATTCCAGAAAGAGGAGAGAAAACAAAGGCAGAAAACAATAGAATTCAATACAATTTCCAAGAACTGAGGGACAGGAGTTTTCAAACTGAAAGAACTACTAAGTACCTTAGCATATTGGGTTTAACAGACACATACCAAAACAAAAAGTATATTACTATGAATTTTCCAACTATGAAGACTCGGAAGGAAAAAAAAAAAGTTAACATAAGTGGCCAAAAAGACAAAAAAGGTCAAATACAAAGGAGGAGGAATCAAGCTGGCATCATACTCCTCAATAGAGCACGGAAGCTAGAAGACAATGAAGCAAGGCCTTCAAAATTCTGAGAAACATTATTTCCCACCTAGAACTCTACACTCAGCCAAACTATCAATTTGGTGTGAGAACAGAATAAAGATAGTTTTAAACATGCAAGATCTCAAAAATATGTGCTCTTTTTCAGGGAGCTGGTACATAAGCACCATTAAAGTGAGAGTAAGTCAAGAAGGAAGAGAAGCAAAAGGAAATCCCAGGATGAGTGAAGAAAGATGTTAAAATGACAGCTGTGTATCAGTCATGGAGAACAATCTGTGGATTGGAACAAGTGAGAAGAATCAGTGAGATATTTTTTCAAGAGGATAATGACAGAACATCTGAGAACATCTCTAATGGAGATTTAGACAACTAGGAGAGACTTAGTTTGAATTAGTTGTAAGTATAAAAATCATGCAAATAAAACACAGAATAATTAACTTCCAAGAAAACAAAAGCCACACAGCAAAGAATGTTAACTTAGTATACTTTGTGCTCAGTTTTGAACATTATTTTTTATAAGACCACAATAATATAAACACTGAATACCACTCCAATCAGAACTACAATATAATTATTTTAGGAGACTACAGGAATGAGAAGGATATGTATAAAAATGTTGGGGATAGGGATGGAGGTTGGTTCATTTTCCATGGTGAGGAAGGACTCACCATTACTAGACTATTTGATTCCTTAATATACGTGTCTATGTAAGTCTGATTTAAAAAAAAAAAAGACAAAAACACAAAGGGAAAAAACCCATATATGTTAAATAGTTCAACTGTAAAGTCAGAAAAATATTTAACACTTACTTCAATTCCATCAAATTCAAATTTTATAACAGGCACAAAGGCATCTTCTACAGCCTACAAAAGAAGAAAACAATTGTAACAAATAAGGTGTAATCCTTTCTCTATCCTTCCCAAATACCAATGTGAATTCTTAAATTTTCTTGGTTTCTCATTCTGAGTAAGCAAGTACTTATACTACATGATTCTGTTATTTAAGATACACAAAATGCCCGTGACAGTAGTTATCAAATTATTATCCTCCTAAAAATATTCAGTAGAAACTGGCAGGCAGAACTGATATCATCTGGGTATTTACTATTCGATGAGGTTACATTGAAAACTGATTATTTACAAAGAGCACTAGTGTTAGAAATTAAAATATAATCAGATCTCATGACTAATCCACAAAAAAACCACAAAAACAAAAAACAACATAGTTTGGATTTAGTAGAAATGTTTCCCTGCATCTTCCTTAATTCCCCAACCGAACAAATTCTTAACCTTCTTCATTCCCAGACACCCAAGTAACACAGATCCTTTGACCCTCACCTTATCCAAGCACTAGAGACTGCATTAAAACCACCTGTTTGTTTAGTCCCCTCAATTCCTCTCTCCTATGAACTATGCCTTGTTCACTACTGTATCTATGGGACTAAGAGGCCAGTATCTGATGAATCACTGGTGCTGAAATCTTACTTGCTGATGAATGACTAGATATACACTTATAGTTATACCAAATGAATCTTATACATAATAGCAGCCACCATTTTAATATGCATCAACCATTTTTCAGATATTATAGTAAACAATTTATGTAAATTAGCTCATCAATCCTCAAAAAAACTTTATAAGAAAGTTAACACCAGATCTCCATTTGATAGCTATGGAAACTGAGACTCAGACAGAATAGGTAACATGACCACAATCGTTGAGCTAATATGTGGTAGACTCTAGATTCAAACCAGGCCTGTGTAACTAAAAAGCCCATGTTCTTAATTGTTGTCCATTAACAAGACAGCAGTTTCTTAAGAAATATGTCAATCATCATAAGCCCTAGCTTTTACAGTTATTTACTGACGAATTAAAAATATTAAATACCAGAAGATACTTACTCTTTTTTTTTTATTTTTAAGAAGATACTTACTCTTAAGTTTCTAATGCCATCTTGATGTTTCAATTTTTCAAAAAAAGACTGAAAAAAATCAGATCGCTCCACATGTCTTGGAGCTACACAAAGTGCATCAATGTCAGCTCCTGCAATCAAAGTATTTCTTATCAAAAAGAGTACATTAAGTATGTTTTTGTATACACAAACATATGTATAGAAGAAAGTGTGTAAGATGAGTACAGGAAATGTTAAACACTGATTAGCTCTTAGTAGTGAGATAATAAGAGTTTACTATTGAAAGTTCTTATCAGTAAAACATAGAAAAGTAGTTACCTTTGGTGTGTACTCCAAGTCTGTAGGAGCCAAAAGTGAAAATTTTTCCACCAACAGTAGCCACAACAGAAGGTGGGAGATTCTAAAATGAAACAAAAATTTAAAAAGGCATTCAATGGTTCAAATTATTTAGCATTACATTTGCGTAAATACTATAACAAAAGTCGGCAAGGATGTGAAAAAAAGGGAACCCTTGTACATTGTTGGTGGGAATGTACATTGGTGCAGCCACTGTAGAAAACAGTATGAAGGTTCTTTAAAAAACTAAAAATAGAACTACCATATCCAGCAATTCCACTTCTGGGTATATATCCAAAGAAAACAAAAATACTAATTTGAAAAGACATATGCATCCTAATGTTCATAGCAGTATTATTAGAATAGCCGAGATATGGAAGCACCTTAAGTGTCCATCAACAGATGACTAGATAAATATGTAGTGTACATGTGTACACGTACACATACACACACACACAGGAATATTATTCAGCTGTAAAAAAGAATTGCCATTTGCAACCACATGGATGGACTTGGATGGTATTATGCTTAGTGAAATCAAAGACAAATATTGTATGATATCACATGTGAAATCTAAAAAGTAAAACTAGTAAATAAAACAAAAAAGAAATAGACTCAGATATAGAGAACAAACTAGTAGCTACTAGTGGGAAGAGGGAAGGGGGGAGGTACATGATAGGAATAAGGGATTAAGAGGTATAAACTACATATAATAAGTAAGCCACAAGGATATATTGTACAGCACAGGGAATATAGTCAATATTTTATAATAACTGTAACTGGGGTATAACCTTTGAAAATTGTGACTTACTATGTTGTACACCTAAAACTTACATAATATTGTAAATGAAGTATACCCCAGTTTAAAAAAAAATTGCCTAAATGCTGATAGATACTACATTTTTCAACTTTGGTGAGCTATTTGTCAGAGCTTTTTTGATTCCAACTTAAGTAATGAAGGTATTCCCAGAGGAAAGACAAAACAAATTTGTGTCCAGTATACATGCACACACTTTTATATTAAGAAAAACATTTTTTATCCCTTAACCCTACTTGTCCCTTCCAACTGCCTGTCTTTGGCTCAATCACTCTTAATCGTCACCAAGCAACTCTTTAACTACCAAAGTAATGCACTTTCAACTCTCTATAGTTATCATACTCTTGACTAATACCATCTCCCCTTTACTTTTTGTGACAGATATACTTAATTTCTTGATTCTAGCTCTGTAATACTTCTCCAAGAAAGTGGGGTCATTCCTGACATGATCTCCTTATAAGAGCTAATCTAACAACTTCAATTAACATTTTTCTGGTTGTACCAGAATTACAGTGCTACTTTTTACTTCTCTCTAGCGCCAATTCTAACCACTCATCGGATGTTTTTCGTTCAGATTTTCTGATCCACTTCAATGTCCATGCCTGAAACCTAGCAAAATTCTTCCTATGATGAACCAGGTATCCCTCCTGACTACTCTATTTCTGGTCTTCATTTCCTTATTGCCCATACCTATAAGTCATTATTATTCTTCCTGGCTTACCAATTCTTAGTTCCCTCATATATCACTTCCTCCCCACCCAGCCCCATTCTGGGCTATTTAATAGTATCAGAAACTATCTTCTTGCCCTTAATCTTTATTTTCTTATTCCATTTTTCACAAAATTCACTGGCTCATGTTCTTAAATTATTCTATTACACAAGTCTTCTGTTCAAAACCTGCCAATGCATTCTTCTCTGACTACTGATCCTTGGAGCCTAAGAACTTCCACGCTGTTATGGATCTTTCCTGCCTTGTCTCCTGGTCATCCCTTCTGGAACTCCAACTGCCAGCGTGTTACATAACCTGGTCTCTTTCCCATTGCATTTGCCATTTTCCCTGTCTCAAATACATGTCGTCCTTTGGGTATCTCAATACTGTTTTTCAAAGTTCACTTTAAGTTCCACGTCCCTCATGAAGCCTTCTTTGATTATCTACCCCATTATAACAAGCTCTTTTCCCCACAGTGCACCTCTACTGTTATTATATTTAACCTCTTTACACTATATTTATTGACTTTTTTCCCCCTGTAGGTCCCATCTCTTCAACTATATTTAAATTCCTTGAAAGTGAGAACTATATTTACTATTTCTCTTACCTCCCCAAAATGCCCAGTCCAAGTTCCAAAGAATAGTATCTGCTAATTAACTTCAATAAAAGTATCTGCATAACAGGATATATTTGTTACTTCCTGTTTAATGGATATTTATGTTTCAATAGTAACACAAATAATTTTATAGCTAGAAAAGTTAGTAAAATTACTGATGACTAACATGAATCAAAAGGATAGAGCAGCCACTTTAGTTTTACCTTTATACTTTGAAAAGTATGATTCCTGCATGATTTATGAAAAAGTGATAAACTGAATCACAGTAAAATATCTTCACCACAAACCATAGTATTTAACTAAAATGATCTGATTTGGAGTTCTAGATTATTTAGTTTAAATATTCCAACTATGTGTAGAATATTAAAATGATCTTTGATCTAACTCAAATCCTTCAGATATTTTCCAAACTAAAATATATATAAATGAAAGGGAATTGTAAATGATATAGAAAATAACCAATCACCTTACCTATGGAAAGGAAGACTTTAAAACCAGTTAAAAAATTTAAAAATAAGTAGGTATTTCATTTTCTTTGCTTAAAAAAAAGGCCAAATAGTAGTAAAGTCTCAAAATTTTTAACAATGGTTTTATGCCTAAAAATTAAAGCTACTGGTTTTTGCAAATTAAAGCAGTGATGTGAATAAAATGAGGGAAAAGCAATTTCTTTTTTTTTTTTTTTAAAGCCTACAGCAACCAGTATTCCCAGCAGTCTCCTATCCAAGTACTAACCAGGCCCGACTCTGCTTAGCTTCCGAGATCAGATGAGATTGGGGGCGTTAAGGGTGGCATGGCCGTAGACAGGAAAAAGCAATTTAAAAATAATTAAAAACAAAAAAAGTTTGACCTTGGAACAGATTCTACTGGATTTTTCTTTTAGGTGTAAAGAAACCGCACAGTAAAATTAGGTGCATCTCTCAATAAAGTCATCTAGCCTCTCTTGTGAATACTAACACTTAATGTCTCTTGACGCATCTCAGAATGTACAACCACAACAGCTGACATAAAGATCACACAAGAAATCATAAAGCTTGTTACTCTGATTTTAAAATAATTCTAGCAAGTTGAGTATCTGGTTTGCATACCCATAGTAATTATGGGCTGATAATAGAGAGAGATAACAGGTTCCCCAACACTTATTTAATGCCTCAGCTCTGTCCTGAGGTTGTGCAGGTGAGTTAAGCCAGGTCTTTTTCACCTGCTCAGAATTCCTAACTGAAAACCTCAACTACTGATAAACCTGCTGTGAGCTCAGAAACAAGCCAGATAGCCGTTTGGCAGCAAAAGTAAATAGCCTAAAGACCATTATTTAAACTCAATGACTGTAGACTCAGCAATCTCTCATAACCTTATTCAGAGCCCACTGTTCAAAAGAACCAATTTTATACATGTATCATAGGTACAGAAAGAAGTGATAAAAGTTGTAAAAGAAAGAATGCTAACAGGTGTTTATCTGATTTCTAAATCCATGCAGATTAATGGCTAGAAAAGGATTTTACAGAGACACACTACTGCTGTTAGACATTAACTTTCAGCTGATTGTTGTTAAGGAAGAGATGGGAAAACTGAAAAAAACAAACAAAAAATTTTAAATATAACAGAGTGGGCCACTCAGTGAAGGGGCAAATAGTATTACCCAGTTGAACATGCCCTACCTCATTTTACTACAGCCAGTAAAATAATATTCATAGTCATGACTCCCAAACAAAAATTCGATTATGTTCAAAATACTCTAAGGAAGCAAGAAAATGTAATCAATTTCAGAAGAAAAACAGTTAAGCTACCAGAAGGGGGGGAAGTTGCATAATTACAAATTAGGGTTTGTCAACTCCTGTATCTCAAGGGCCAGGCAGGTATACAAATGAGGAAAGTGTACACATAAGAAATACAGAAACTGATTGATAAATGACAGATGCTGTGTCAGAGAGAGCAGCGTGCAGTGGGGACCATGAAGCACTGGAGGGGAAGAGCCAATTCCATTCAGGCTTCTTCTTGCCTTGCACAAAGGCAGGCCCAGTGCTGCCAGACCTGGTATTTCACAAGAAGTCTGAAATCTGGCTTTTAAAGTAAAATCAGTATTTAAATTTTGGTGTACCACATGCGAGTTAAGTGAGATATTTATGTGGAACTGTAGCTAAACAGTGCTACCTCTGGGGTAAATGCTCATTCATTTAGAACTCAACTGTCTAGACCAATTCATTTCCAAGTACACAAAGGAGCCATGTTTTAATGTATCTCAGATTATTCTCAACTCCTACACCTTACTGTAAGACTAATGACCAAGACATAATGAAACTATGAATTCAATTTAGAGTCTTACCTTACTCTCACTGACCTCAGAAATCCATTCTTTTACTAAATTGTTCAGTTTACCAAGAACAACCAGCCTATAATAAAAAAAAAAGTTTTAGATTAAAACAAAAAAAGCCTACCAAAACCAAACAGTATTTTAAAAAGTAATTAAACATACAGGCAGTACCTCTGTGTTGGTGCTAGAGTAAAAGCATATTATATATGTGCTAATGCTATCAAATCTGTTGATACATGGCACATCTCTTTGGCATTATTAGGTTCCTAAGAGTTCCAAAGAGACGATAAATGTGATGATAATATTTTGGTCTTTGAGCTATTTTCAAAAATCAAAAAGCCTAATAAAAAAATCAAAATTACCTTCAATAAGGCTGCAGAGACCAAATGAACTGTCAACTTTCTTGGCCTTACTATGGAATAACAATTCAGTGTGGTAATAATAGAGGTTAGCATTCTCTCATTGACAGTTAAGTTTTCGGATAATAAACATGGACAAATAATTTACTGGCTAATTATTATAAAATTCACTTACAAAAAGCAACTCGATATTAAAACAAACTTGCAATCAATGGCAATATCCAAATTCAGATTTAAGAAAAAAAGGAAAGAAGGGTTCAGGTATCTTAAAGATAACATACGAAAAATTGAATGCCTGACCTGTCCAAACTTGCTTCTCCCTCAGCCTTCCCCAGGTAATGGAATTCCACCCTTTGAGATGCTGAGACCAAAAATCTTGGCATCATCCTTGACCCTTCTCACTTCTCCTCTCACATTCCACAGTCATTAAACAACACTACCTTTAAAATATATCAAGAATTCTATCACTTATTACCTCCACTGCCACCCTCCTATTTCTGGCCACCATCATTTCTTCCTTGGGTTATTATAATAGCCTCCTAAATGGTTTCTCTGCCTTTGCCTTTCACCTCTTTTCAGACTATTCTCAACAAAGCAGACAGAGTGACTGCGTTAAACATGAGTAAATCATGTCAATCTTCTGCTCAAAACATTACCAGCTTCCCATCTCACTCAGAGTAAAAGCCAAAACCTTTATAATGGCTTTCAAGGTCCTAAGCAACCTTTCCCTCCAAGCTCCTTCTGATCTCATATTCTTTAAGCCCACATTCCCCTTCTTATCCACTCTGCTTCACATACGGAGGCTACCTTGTTGTGCATTTCTTAAATAAACGTCACTCCCACCTCAAGCCTTCTGCTTAGAATGCTCTTCCCTCAAACCCACAGAGCTCCTCCCTCACCTTCAAGATGTCCCTCAAATGTCAATGAGGCCTTCCCTGACAACCTCCACTCCCAACTTCATTTTTCTCAGTAGCACTCATTATGTGTAACACTATTTATTTTACTTATTTGGCTAATTGTTAGTCTCCTGCTCTAACCTCCAACTAAAATATAAGCTCCAGGAGGGCGAAGTTTTCTCTCTGTCATTTTTGTATCCCTAGGCAGGGACATCGTTGGTACTTATATATGTTTATAGAATTAATGATTAAATAATGTACTATAAAATATTTTGCATTTTTAAATGACATACCTATGGTTCAATTCTTCCTCATCTTCAAATACTCCAAATGGTTTCATGGCATCAATTAATTTCTGTGTGTATATATGATCAATTTCTTTAGGACATGCCAAGCTAATTGGAGAAGTGATTCCATAATGCTTTTGTTGACGCTGGCTGTCCAGCATGGTGTTTCTGTTCAAGAAAAATGAAATAGCATAAAAAATTTAAAGCATATACTGATACATCAAATCTCTCAATCCACTCATTAATTTAGCTACCTTAAAAGTTTACTCTGTGCTAATAGTTGGGGCCCCCACTGTTTTTTAACAGGAAAAAGGATATTTTGTGCTTGTGTTGATGAAGGGCTATTCATACTGCCTCAAGCTTTCATGGTTAGGATGTCTTTTCAAGCCAAAAGCTGCCTGTGTTGGCATCAGGACAACTGTGCCAACACCACTCAGCTAAAATGCAAAGAGCTTGAATGGGAGCTGGTCCAGGGCCACCTCCACTACACCCTGCAGACTTAAGTTAAGTACTTTCTACATACAATCTCTGAAAAGCAGCTAGCCACTTGAAAGAAAGCTCTAAGTAAAAATAACGGGTTTTCCCCCCAACTCAGGAAAGAAACAGAAACATCCCATTAGAAGGTCCTTGTGAAATACTCCAGATTTAAAAAAGAAATCACAATTAGATTTGTCCCTAAGAAACCTACATTAACATCCCTTACTTGAATCAGAGTTTACAATTCTAATACTTTGTGACTCTAGTTATTTGTTTTCTTCACTTAAGACTGACACCAACTATGATCTTGGGTCCCACTTTCTTATCTCTATGCTGAAAAAGCTGGCTCTCAAGGTCCTTACTAGCAGTTCCAAATTCATGGTTTTGAACCTCCCTCATCTAGATAGGAAAACAAAAGCAAGCAATAGAATCCCACATTCCCTTCAATTAATCAATTTCACTTATCAGTAAACACCCTACAGAAATTCTTGTATGGTGTACAAAGAGACATGGTACAAGAATGTTCACTGCCACACTGTAACATTAAAAACTTAGAGATAATCTAAAACAATTAGTTAACAGGAAAAGGACTAAATCAGGGTGTATCCCTGCAGTGGAATACAATACAGTTGTTAATATGAATTAGAGCTGAAAATATTATCATGGACAAATCTCAAAGGCACTATGTTACACTAGAGTTGCTCAATGACAAGTGTGATACTAGTTACATAAAGCTTAAAGACAAGTAAAACAATGTCAGTTATTATCGACACATACATATGTAGTAATAGCATTAAAAAAAACCCACACAGCAATAAACATCAAATTCACAACTATGGTGAACTCTGGGGAGGGAGGTGAATGGGACCAGAGAAGCAGGTAGGAAGATCCTTCAGATGTATTGGGTATGCTTCGTTTCTTTTAAATAAAGATATGTATGTACACAACACATACACACGGAACGTTATGCTTTGGGAGAGAAGGATGATGGGTACACAAATGATGCTTATGTTATTCTCTGCATTTTTCTGTATGTTTAAATTATTTCTTAATAAACCAAAATGTCAGAAGCTACCACACAATCTTGCCAAGCACGGACACCGTTTCTGACTTATCCAAGTGTGAGCAGGAGGTATAGACAGGCAGACTGTGGATAGGTGGGGAGGCCGGGAGGGGTGAAAAGACCAGTCTTTACTGAAGAGAAACCCGTGGGCTGGGATAGGTCATTCACTCCTGAAGACCTGGAGACAGCCGGTCAGGAAGGGAGGAAGGGGAGGTAGGGGGATGGTATTTACGCCAATGCAGACAGGAGCAGAAACCGGCTCAGAGTGTGCTGGGGGCAGGAGAGTGACCGACAATTTCTCCCCACGGTCACACGCGCCTCTCTCCCACCGCAACCTCGTCTGGGGGCGTCCTCGTAAGTGGGACAGCCGCGGGAAGAAGAGACTCCTGGAGTCCGCGAGTCTGTGCACGGGTGGCCAGGTGAGCAGCCAGTTGTAGGGGAGGTGCCCTTGCGGACCGGCCGGGAGCGGGAAAGAAGACTACCCGGGAGAGCTCTGGGCAGAGTGCAAGGGGCAGGGAACCGAAACAGGGTCCCGGGCCGACCACCCCAGCCCACAAGGTTTCGCTTCGCCCCCAACCGCCGCCCCCCACCACTTACGCAGACATCTCTTTCATCGCTTCCTGCGTCTCCCTCAGCGGCGAGTGTATTTCGCTCTGGAGTCCTGTTCTTGCTCTTCCCTTCCCCTCCTATCCAATTTCCTCCGCTCGCTTGTAGCTCGCTTGCTCGCTCACTTCCTCACTTCCTACGACCGAGGCATACAACCGAGTAGTGAAAACACCACAAAACCGGCTCTATTTATGACAATACAGCGCGGCCGACGCCAATATGGCGCCGCTTCCCAGCCTGCCCTTCGCCCGCCGCGGCCCCGCCTCTGGAGGCCTGGACCCGCCCTCGGCCACGCCCCCTCCCCTTCGGGTCCCGGGAGGCTCCGGTGGCTCCGCCCACAGGGGCGCTCGAACGAGTTCGGGTTGCAAACGCAGGTCCGAAGGAGCGTTTGGTCCCCTCTTAAGCCGGTGGGGCTGTCATTCCAAGTTTACCGCTTGGAAGATGATTTGAAACACGTTTTTTGTCTTATGGGAGCCTATATCATATATATATATATTTTTAAATACATATATATTTTAAAAACCTCACAACTTTGCCTAGCAAATATTATTTTAACTCTTCCATTATACCACTTTAATTTAATCTTAGCTGTGTGTAATCTAATCAGGCCTGAGGTCACACCCTGGAACGTGTGACTTTAATTACCCCGGAGAAAAGCAAGCTTGTAAATTGGAGGCTAACTGTTGACTTCATCTAACTATAACTGTACCTCGCCCTGATTCAGGACATTGTAGCAGTTAAGGGAGAGAGGTTGAAAGGAAGGCTAGCAGTTTTCAAGAAGAGGATAAACACAAGGCTGAATCAAAACTGCAGTTTCAAATGATGGAGATCATGTTCGATGTCAGTATTAGGAGGAAAACAAAAATGATGACAAATTTAAAAATGTTAAAGGGTAAAAATAATTTAAAACGCTAATTCATTACAAGGAAAAGAATGTCAAGAAGCTGCTTTTTCTTGGAATGTGACTCAGCATCACAGTAGAGATTATAGAATCATTCATTCAAAAATATTTACTGAAAACCTAATCTGTGCCAAGCACTGTGTATGGCTCCAGTAATTTAATCGTGCATAAATCTAGATGTATTCTTTAATCTTGTAAAGATTGGAGTTTGGTGAGGAAACACTCAAATATATTTTGATATTTGGTAACAGTCAAGTGATATTCCTTTGTTGCAGAACTAAATCACCTACTATGTATCAGGCACAAGAGATACTTAATTCCTGCTCTCAAGAGTTCAAAGTCTAGTGAAGGAGAAAAAACGTACACAGAGATCATTAAAATACAGTATGGTGTGTGATAATATGGGGTCAGGGGTTTTAGGGAGGCCTAAAGTGGGCCACCTAAACTTGGGGGTGGGATTGCTCAATAGGGCTTCATAGAGTAGGGCATGTGCTTAAATTAGCAAGATTTGGGAGTAGGGATTGGGTGCAGGTGGTAGGGAGAAGGCAAAGCCTACCCCAGGTAGGATACAGTAACAGCATGGGCTTCAGTGCGAGGGAGGCTCAAATTTGAATTCTAGTATTGCCACTTACTAATTTTGTGACCTGAGGGCAATTAACCTTAAAAAGGCCTTTCCTCATCTATAAAATGAAGTTAATAGGATTGTAAGAGAATTAGATGAGAAGAGTATGTATAGCCAATACACATCTCAGTCTGAAAGGTCAGACATGCAGAAAATACCACTTTATTTTCTAAAACAACTTTTCTCTCTGAGCCCCTCATTATTCTGAGCTGGCAGACAAAGACAATCTTGGTCACCCTGGGTCTCCCCCTTCCCACTTCTTGAGACCAATCAGTGGAGTTAGGGCAGATTGTGTACATCTGGTACTGGCCCCTGGTAACGCACCTTCCTGTCTTCTTGGCACCTGGGCCTGGAGGGTCCCTGCTGCCTTCAGGTCTTGTCTAGTGCTCATTGTAAAGGCTTGTAGTCTTAGCCCAGAGCCATCCTAGAGCTACTTCTTCCCACTGCACCTCATCTCCCGAAGAGTTTAGGGAAACTTGGCAGTCTGGGAGATAGTCTCCTTTCCTCAGTGTTTCTAACCAAGGCGTTTGTTGCTAGCCACATACAATTCTC